AATGAATCAAAATAATTACTATATCTAATTACTTTAAACTAAATCTACTACGAAATCATGAACATAATCGAGTTAAAACGGTTGATGGTTAAAAGAAAATTACCTTTTTGACCAAAAAAGTTAATCAATTATAACTCACAAGTTAAAACTCGACTATTTCTAATTCTTATGCTGATCCGAGCTCGATTAGACACACTAGACTGCTATTGAAACCATACTCCAACTCTACGATGTACTGTATTAAACAAGACTTCAATCAAACTTGAAATTTACATAAATAAGATCAGTTTCTAATTCTTACCTTTTCCTATTTGTTTTCAATTTTTAAATCTTCAAAAAAACTTTCTTTGAAATTGCCATAATTCAAACATTACCTTCCATCTATGTTCCATTACCACTTACCTGGCTATAAATGGGTAATTAGTGAAACAATCAAAGAATGTGATTGTATGAAAATCTTGGCTAAATCTTGATGTCAATAAATGCATAGTTTCTTTTTTACTATTTACAGCGTCTAAACATGTAGCAGGTAATCATGGGCCAATATCTCCACAACAACTTCGCTTTCATAATTTTCCATCATCAATTATTAGTGAGTCGATGCATCCTATATACAACGGTGTGTTCATTTACATACAAAAACCACTTTACAGATATTTTACGAATAAATTTAGGTCTCAATTTCTTTTTGTCGAATCTGTAGACCAATTCTATTTATCGTAAAGAATTATGGCCAATAAGAAAGAACTTAAATGGCTTCAACTCACGTTCTTCTAACATTCATTTACCAACTTCAACTTTCTAATGTTCTTATCCATTTAACGAAGGTTAAAACAATAACTTCTCCTTTGAATAGCAAATCATTCACTATGAATACTTGCTATTGAAAAGAGTCCGCCACAACACCAGTACCTTCATTCATCTCTTCTACTACATTGTCTTATTTACAAAGACATATTATCTACGGACTATTTTAAATGCCATCTTTAACTAGTAAAAGCAATAAGTTTACTCAGTCATAAAAACTTACAACGACTTAATATTAAAACAGCAAATGCTCTACTGAAAGGAATACGTATTAGATTCTGCCGCTTCGCTAGACGTTCATTGATACTAAGTCTTTCTATTTCAATTCTAGTTTTAGATAATTTATTTTCATCATTCCAGAGTACAACAACTATCCAACATCTACAACATATCCAACATCAATGTCTATCATTCGCATCAATGATTCAAACAGATTCAAGTGGAATTGCATCATTAACTCCAATATTTAAAGAAATGTTCCATAGAAACAAACACCTTCATACTGATTTACTTCAAGCCGTCTATCTTAATCTCCTACCAAATACCCCACAATCAAACCACGGATACAAAAATACACATTCGTTTCATGGTTATAAACAAGACGTTGATGCGTATGTTTACAAAGCGATTTACGGTATTCCACATGCCACAGAAAAATTCATCAAGA